TGTCTCTGACATAGTGATAACACTCGTTGCCTTCTCTAGTGCAGCTCAACCAGGTCTCGTCCCATTCGTCGATCTTTGTGATATCACAAATCCCAGAAAATATGCATTGTAGTCCAAACGAGTCGTTCGTTGTAGTTTTTGAAAAGTGATTTATGTTAAATAAAATATCTCCTGTTGAAGTGGACTTTGAGCTTTGTAACTTTGCAGATCTTTTTTATGCACAAACAGCAACATTACAGACTAACTAAAGTTGAAAAAGTGAAAGCATAATAGGACCCCTTTAAGGCATTCTTCATAATATCTTCTTTTATGCTTCACAGAAGCAAATAGGTCATGTAGGTTTGGAATGACATGTGGGTGAGCAAATGATGACAGAACTTTTTATAAATTTATGGGGGAATTACCCCAATCATTCCTTAAATTGACCAACCTTTCTTAGAGTACTGTAAGACTCCTCGTCGAAGAATTTGACCTGATATGTGCCTGAGCTGGCCTGCTTATGAGGAACACTCCATGAGACCTGGACAAAAATAAATCAATAGAACAGTTTGTCACATATGTTGAAGAATCTTACATGTATGGCTTTGTTAGAACACTATAAAGGGATAGTTCACATAAAAATGAAAATACTGTCATCATTTAACTCACCCTCAAGCTGTTCCAAATCTGTATGAACTTCTAAAGTTATTTTGCAGAATGTCGATACCCATACAGTTGATGGTGACCGTTGTGGAAAAAATACTATGGAAGTCAACAGCTACCATCAACTGTTTGGTTACCAACATTCTTCAAAATGTATTCTTTTGTGTTCAAGGAGACCAAAGAAGCTCATACAGGTTTGAAACAAGTGGAACAAATTATGACTACATTTTCTTTTTTGGGTAACTATCCCTTTAAATCCTCTGTAACCTTACCTGGTATTTGCCAACATCTTGGCCTCTGGTCACAGGAAACTGCTTGCCATTGACGTCTGCATAAAGAGCAACCCTCTAAAAACAAAACACAAGTCTGGTCAGTCCACACTTCTGTACCAATAAAGCGTGTATATATGTACCTTTTAGTCCACTCACCTGAGCTCCGTTTGCACACGCCAGACTCAACTCAACGATGAAGACGGTCTCGGAGGAGATGAGCGCGTCTGTCGTCGTGTATGAAGACGGAGAAATGGCTGGGTCTGTGCAAGTCTCAGCTGAGGAGAGAAAACACCGGTCACACTACTGTCCTTACGAATAACAGGTCACATGTCAAGTCTGGTCCCTGACTTAATTAAACCATAATGTTTCTAACAGATAGCTGTGATAAAAACGGAACCAATTCAATGTAGCTTGAGACATCTCGATGTTAGCATGTTTGACGACAAGCGAAAAGATTGAAAGCCGCGAATGAATGATGTTGTATATCGAACGTTAATTGAAAGAAAATTGAAAATTACCTGCACAAAGGCTCAGACAAAGAGCCAAAATCGCTGTTATAACTCGCATCATGTTGATCCCTAGGCAGCTGAATCCACCTCTACTCACTCAAACCTGAGGAAAAAGAGCAGCCAGCGGCGCTAGACAGACACGTCACCTCAAGGGAAGAGTGGCTCGTCTGCTAGCGAGTGCGCCTCTGGCGAAAGCCGCCGGTACTGCAGAGCAAAGGCTCACTACCAGGGGCCGCAGCAAGCTTCCAAGAGATGTGAAGTGATTATTTAATATAATTGATGTTAATATTATTATTAATACATCTAAATAATCGCACTTAAATAAAATGCTAAAAAAAACTATTAATATATTTTTATATAACCGTTATATACTCATACACTCATAACCGTTAGATATGAGTGAGAGACAGAGAGGAGGAGCTCCAAAATAAAACAATACCGGAAGTTGCTGCCGACTTTATTTCAGTGTAGTGACGTATTTCCATCTGAAACGGAATATTGAATAGAGGGCATGGTTTTATTTTGGCGCTCCTCCTCTCTGTCTCTCACTCATATCAAACTAACGGTTGGAGGGGTGTGTTTAAAAGGATATTCTGCCCAAGCCGTCAAACTGACATCATCAGAGAAGGACTGCTATTCCAGAGCACAAGCAAATGATCAGATTTTGATTAAAGATTACCAAAACAAACAATTTTTTTCAGCAGATTAACTTGCATGGATTAATTGTTCTCATCAGGACTAGCAACGTGCGCTAGTAAAGTAAATAAAGTCAATTTTGATTTCATGCCGACTTTAAACCAAATAAAAAGTGTTGGCAAATGAGGGGCCTTGACGTAAAAAAGCATGAGAACCACTGGTGTAGAAACTATTTGAAAAGTTTGGAAGACATTCCAAAAGTAGCTGTAATCTCCGGGAAGAGTATAGAAATTTAAAGATGCATTTTCTAATTGCTAATGATTGCCACATCTGCATGATTTTCCACATCCCATTATTAATACTTTTAACCAACTGGTCAAGGGGATTTTTTTATTAAATGTATTATGCATTGTTGTATTATTGCAATGTAATAAATATTTAAATCTTTTTAAAT